TTTCCCAGATTTCCCGTTGGCCGCGCAGCGTGGAGTTGTGAGTACCGGCAACTTATAGACGCTTTAAAGGGATGGTGAATCGAAATTTGGATTTCAGAAAACAATGTAGGAGCTGTAGGTGGGACGCTATAATTCCTACAACACTACTCGTAAGGCGATACCTCGAATCGACGGCCGTATTTTTGGAAAAATATAAGGTCGAGATTTGAACGAGGCCGACGAGGCGCGTGACGTCAACATGTTGTAACGAAGGAACGGGCGAGGAAACAAAGAATAACAGAGGAAACTAAACGCTTAATGGGGCGAACTTCCGCCCGAAACAAAAAGGAAGTAGATAACAAGAGAGCGTCGCGGGCGTCGAAGTCGGCGGAGAGCAGGATCGAACGCTGGGGCGAGACTACGGCGAGACTGACTCCGCTCGCCCTGCTGAGTCCCTTATGTGCCCTCGTGGGTTTCTGGATCATTCGGCGTAGAACTTTCGATGCGTAGAACATTCGGAACTTGATCAGACGAGAATGTTCTCGAACTTACGAGAAGTGCAAGTTGAAAGAGTAAATAAAAGGACAGTCCGCTGGCTGGAACCGAACCCTGGCTTTCTGCGTGGAAGGCACGCGCGATAGCCGTTAGGCCACGAGCTCGCTGACTAATAAGTCAGCTGCGCTCGCGGCAATATCTCGTTTCCTCCTCGCATCGCTTCGCCCCCTCGAGGCGGCGAGGCGGAGAAGACGCGAGGCCGTTCCCTCTTCTCAACTTTTCTCGGAGAAACAAGACGTCAACATGCGCATCCCTTTTTTAGAAAGTACGGTCATCCGTTCGAGATACCGTTGTATGAGTTATGTTTTGGTGTTTGTAGCATTCCGTTGCATGCTTTCGCCGCCGTGTTTTGTGGAATCCAGATTTCGGTTCAGCATCACTTTAAGCGCGTCAGTTACCGGAGCCGCCACCAGACATGCGCGCTCCTCAGGCCGCCATTAAGGCCACGGTCCCACTGAATGTGGCAGTTTAGGTACTTTTTGGCAGGTCATTACTCATCTTCTTTTGAATACTGTTTTGTGGGATTGATGTCGTTCGAAATGCAAAGCAATCCTCTTTCATTTGATATTATATATTTATTGGTTTATACTGCTCATGCGCATTTGTTGCGTTGCGAATATGATGGCGCGGACCCTCACTTGCTCCGCTGGTTCATGTTTCATGAAGAATCTATTAAAGATAACACGGTTCCAATAGAGCAGCTTTGTTAAGATGATGTCGGAGCAGAATGTAACGATATACTTTTTTTGGTATTTGCACTACTTTGCTTTGTTCATCTCCAAATATTGCCCTAAAATTGTAATTTTTCAGCAAAATTATGTTTTTAATGACATGCGCTAGGGCAATGAAATCAGCTACAGACGTAGTGCTTATAATTGGTAATATGCAGAAAAAAAAAATAATGTTGTGTAAATTTTGTTTGTTTAGATATTTTATATCAAACGTAGAACTTTTTTGTGCTTCGAGTCAGTCGTGCTTCAAATGCCGCTGAGGAAATAATTAAACTATGATAAAATCTTTTATAACATTTAGAGCTACAATGGTTGCCCAAGAGGTGGACGATGGCTTTTTTTCATTTTCAAAGTCATAACGCTCCGGGAGCCCTTCAAACTTAGCTGATTTTTGACGCATATCTTTTTTGGACATCAAACAGATTTATTTGCATCTAATAACATTTATTGTTTGGAATAGATATAAATTACGATGTATTAAATTTTCACAATGTTCTTGCTTTGGTTTTTTAATAGGTGTAGAGCTTAGCTAATTTTAAAAACAATTAAAAACTGTTTGGGTGTTTTGTTGCGCTACATGCCGGATGGCAGACAAAACTGCTGATTTTTAATGTTCAAGAAATTTTCGAGGGCGGCGTTGGCGATTGTATCATCATCAATGTCCGTGTCTTTTTACCTTCACATTTCGAAAATATGTTTTAAGATTTACTATCGACAAAGGAATGATTTAAGCACTGGGTCAGGTTAATAAATTTAAGATGAATAATTACACAAGCGTAGTGTGATATAAGGTGTTCATTATTCGATATGATTGCAATCGATAAACAATAAAGACGAAGAGGAAAAGAATACACCCGAGTTCGCTTCGTGCCTAGAGTCACTACACGAGCTGCGCTTAGAGTATCGGCACTCCGTTCCGTAACATTGTTGTGGGCGCCGCCATTTTGGGTCTTGTGCAGAGCAAACGCAACTGCCGAGCGTCATGATTCAAAAGTGCGACATCCTCAGCATTAGATCCGGTTTCAGGAAGCTGATGCAATATTGCTTTGCTCTGTCGCGGACTGTTTAAACATTTGTAGAGGACGGAAAAGCGTTTTCTGCGATTTTAGATAAAGCTTCAGATAACTGGCAACCATGATACTAAGCCACAATATGCCCAAGTGTCGTTACTCTGAGGCGTAGGTTATTTAATGACACTATTCATGCCCTTGTTCAAGGAGCTTGTAATACCTGAAGGGGCCATAATGTAAGCCCCGTGGGTTCCACAAGCCACTACCTTTTGACGCCTGCCTCTTCCTCATTGTTCCCGCTAGTGCCACTAAATTAGCTACGCTTCAGAGTAGCGACACTTGGCCATATTGTGGCTTAAAATCATGGTTGCCAGTTATCTGAAGTTTTATCTGAAATCACAAGGAACGCTTTTTCGTCCTCCACAAACGTTTAAACAGTTCGCGACAAAGCAAAGCAATATTACACGAGCCTCCTTACACCGAATCTAATGCAGACGAAGTCTGACTTTTGAATCGTGACGATAGACAGTTTCGTCTGCTCTGCACAAGCACCAAAATGGCGGCGCCCACAACAATGTAGGGGAACGGAGTGCCGATAATCTAAGCGCAGCTCATTTAGCGGCTCTAGTTCCCGCGAACCTCCTTTCCCCTGACTGAAACTGAAACTAAATATGAATAAGACACCATTATTATAGCTTATTTAGTTATGACCAAGATGAGAGGAGGAAGCGGCCGGGTAGGAGAAACGCGGGTTTTATGTGTGACCGTTCTAACCATATCAGAAGACAAAATGCCAGCTTGCGCTGGTTTCAAAAAGACGGTCCAAAGAAAAGAGGTGGCAGGCTGGGTTCTTTGTGATTGTGCGTCTAATTCATATACAGGCACATTTGAAGATCGACGACGGACGTCTATCGTCTTGAGGTAATGCAACGTATCAACATTATATAAATAATAAACATAATGAAGGACTGAACGATTCACCTTCTTAATTCATGTATATGTAATATGGCGGTAGCCTGTTGTACTTATTGTTGCTGAAGAGCAATATGAGGTGACGTGGTAATGATTAAATGATGAGGCTCTTATAAGGACGACTAAATTAGTGGGTATCGAATCACAACGTTTACAGTGCCAGACTTGTTTCAAGTATCGTGTACCCAAAGACTTTTCTTCCCCCGCAACAGAATATGGTAGAATCAGTGAGGATGCTGCTTTAATCTGTACGTGGAACGCGCGCTGCGCGAAATTGCAGGTTATTCATTAATATGAAAGACAGATTTGACAGATTTCTAGCAGCATCCCCTGATGGACTGCTAGGAACAAATGGCCTCGTTGAGGTAAAGTGTCCCCGTTCCAAAAGATTCTTATAGCCTACCGAAACCGCAAAAGAGAATGATGCGAAAGAAAAAAAAAAAAAAAAGGAGCCTGATGTGAAAGGTTCAAATCACCACCATAGCTTCTGCCACCAAATACAAGGGCAGTTATACAATACACAAAGAGATTTTTGTGATTTCGTTATATTTACACTCAAGGGCATTGATATCCAACGTATTCAGAGGGAACATTTGGCCAAAGAACATAAAGCCTTTTGTACTCAAGTTTTACATGAAAGGCCGGACTTCCGCTCAAATTCCTTACGTAGACGAGTTGTCCGATCGAATAAACTGCCATTGCTCCCTATCTGCGAACCTCTCGATCTTCGTTCGTAGACCATTGTGTCATGAAATCGAGGGGTGTGGCTGTTCGTCCACCGAACATTTTTTTTCGGCGGGCGTTTTTCTCCTGGGAGATGAGATCGTCGCGTGCTGCCGGAACAAGAACCTGGCGATTCTTCACTGAACGGCTTCTTCCGTAAGCTTCAAGAGGGCTTTCTTCGTTTCACACACCATCTGTTCTGCTTGCCCGCTAGTTGCAGGATGGTATGGTGCACTAATGTGGTGCCTGATGACGTTTTTATTTTGCTCAAAAACTTGTTTATTTTATTTGAAAGGAGATTCGGCGCGTCATCAGAGAAAAGTACTTTCAGTAGGCCAAAAGTAGCGAAAAAAGAGCGTAGAACGTGAATGACGCGTTTGGACGTCCCCAGACAACACTTGGACACCCCAGGATGTCCTCAGGACAGCCTTTTGAGGACATTATGATGTCCTGAGGATGTCCTCAAATGATCCTGGAAACATCCTAAAAACGTCCTATTGTCCGGCCTGAGGACATCCTCAGAACCTCCTCAGGAGGGCAGCCAAGGATTTTTCTAGTACATTTTTAGGACAATGCACTGCAGGTGCAGCTGTTCACTGAGCTGTTAGGATGCTTTCATTTTTATTGTTTCTAGGTTTTCTCCAACTAGATTTTGAACCTCAAGATGCCTGCAAGAGTTGCCTGCAGATAAAAAATGCATTGTTGTGCACTATTTTAAAGTGAAATTCACACACTAATTCTAGATTACTAGTCAGTGAGAGGCTAAGCACATAGGGCAAGGGAAAGCAGGAAGAAAGCTGGCGGAATGCTGAAGAGGAGAGGAGAAAACCTCTCCCCTCCAGCATTCTGTCGGCTTTCTCCTCTGTGTATTTCCTTGCGCTACGTTGTTAGCATGTAACTATGAGCATGATCGTGCCATTCATTATTGCAAACAAAGGTTACTGTTCAAGAAATACTTTATTGGAGAGCAAATGTTTTACATAACGTTTTTCAATGTCTGCACCAGACGTGCGTCTGTCTTCGCATCTTGGCCAGCACTAGTCCGAATAGTCAGCGGGATCTGCAAAAAAAAAATCAATTCCATAAGCATTATTAATAAAAACAGGTAATGTGAGAAACTTACCATTATGTCGAACATTTCCGGCCTTTGACTGCAGCTTTTTCAGTTTCTCTTCAGCGTGGCGCAGCCATATTTTGATGACGGTCTCCACGTCAGCTTTGTTTGCGCACTCAACATTTGCTTTCACTGCTCCTAAAACATTGATTTGTGATGACACTCAGAGCAGAAAACTAAGATGGTCTAGAACAAAATCACAATTAATGTTCGTGCGAGGAAGATACCCCTGCTAGCGAGTTTACTTTCGCACAGTTGAAAAGCTCGAAGCATTCGTTTACGCGCCAGCATCTTTTCCGCCGAAGTTGCCGTTAATTGCTTTCCGCCATTTCGAAGAAGTACTACATTTAAAAACACACTAACCTTTGTCACTGCCTTGCATTGCTGCCATCATCAATTTGGATGGAACAGCGCGGGAGGAAGAAGAAGCCAACTGGGCGTAAGACGTGTCTTTTCGATCGTCCGAAAGCCAGCCGGACCAGTGGCACAGACCATGTCTTCGATCGACATGGTGCACAGGCTGCTCAGTTACAAGCTGGACCGCAAGCTGAAAGACTCCAAGGCCCGCTTTCGTAAAGACCGCCGCTCGGCCAACACTGGCGCCAACCCCTGGAGCCCGCCCGCGGGGGTGATGAATTCCCCGCGTCGCCGGTAATTCGGCTGCCTACTATGCAAGTCGGACACGCGAGGAGCCCACTCCAGGTGCTTGAGACCGGCCTGCTAGAAGTAAGCAGCCAACAGCAGCACCGCGAAGACAACAACCGCGAAGAATGCTGTTAGGCCTAACACACATATTCTAACCATCAGAACTTTCATCTTGTATATTACATCATCACATAATCCTCTTCACTAGACGCGGCACCGCGGGCCACCTTGGTACGGGCTGTTGCCTTTCTGCGGTGCCGCGGCTCTCCTGAGCAAATAAAGATGATTATGATTATGATTATATACAGACTCGGAGCGCTGACTAACGACTCAGTGACATATTTCTTCTTCCTCGAATCGCATCTTCTCCTTCGCCGTTAATGAGATTTTAAATTTTTAAACACAAGAAACCAAATAGCCAATAAACATTAATAGGTAAATATAAATAAATAAATGACAGCTAAAAATAAATAAAACTAAGGAAATTAAAAAAAATAAAAAATAAAGTTAGTTTTTTTAGAAAATAAATTATAATTAAATAAATAAATTTAGAAAATATTTCTTTTAATTTTTTAAAGTTTCATTTCTTTTTAGTTGTCATTTATTTATTATTTCTTTATTAATGTTTATTGGCTATTTGGTTTTTGGTGTTTAAAAATTTAGAATGTTCTCCTTAATGGCGAAGGAGGAGAATATGACGATATGAGGAAGAAGAAATATATCCCTGAGTTGTTAATCAGCGCTGCGAGTCTGTTTCCTTCTTGCGTGCCTGTGAGTGTGACTGTATCCGCGCTGTTCCATCCAAGCATGAATTTCCAACTAGCCTAAGCATCCACATTATCAAGCCATCATCAACCTCGAGGCTATTTCTGTTTCTGTCCTGGCTTGGGTTAGCTTGCTTGAGTCTCTCGGATGGGTGGATAATTGCCATAACGGTACACCTTGTAGTAGGCGGTAGCTTGCGCCACCTAGATTGAATGTTACCAATGAAACAATTTCGAAATACTGCGCAAATACAAAACTAATAATAATTGTAGTGCGTCCTGGTTTTAATAAAGAATTGTTTTATTAAAACTATCGTTAAGGATGTCCTAAACTTACGCAAGTAGATGCATTAATTTGTATGTGAAATTTAGTTGAACAGTGAACGTGAACTGTGTATACTACCGCCATTTCATGAATTTTTTTTAAACGCAATCAAATTGAGGACGTATATATTACTTCTAACTTTGTATCCTTCGTCCTCAATAAGTCCTCGGAAGGACGTTTCTAGGATGATCCAGCGACTGACGTTCTCAGGATGTCCTGAGGACATCTTGAAAACCGTGAGGACGTTTGTACCTTTGGAGGACGTCCTGAGGATGTCGGGTGTTGTCTGGGGATGATTAAATGATGAGGCTCTTATAAGGACGACTAAATTAGTGGGTATCGAATCACAACGTTTACAGTGCCAGACTTGTTTCAAGTATCGTGTACCCAAAGACTTTTCTTCCCCCGCAACAGAATATGGTAGAATCAGTGAGGATGCTGCTTTAATCTGTACGTGGAACACGAAAACTGCGCTGCGCGAAATTGCAGGTTATTCATTAATATGAAAGACAGATTTGACAGATTTCTAGCAGCATCCCCTGATGGACTGCTAGGAACAAATACTTACAGCGTGTGTCGGTACTTCCCCAAATATTGCAACGGCGTTTGTTTTCTGGGAACTATAAATGTAACAACATTTACAACATCTTCTGGATCCCGTGAAACACAATACTTCGTTGCGTCACTTTTCAGTCGTCATTATAATGGCGAGGCAAATACCGTAAATCGCGAAGCAGTTTACTAGACGTCCGCTTCCACTGGTGTCTTAAAAGAATGAGTCTACTGAGCGTGCATTCCTGCAGAAGAATTTTTCATTGACAGAATATTGACACACCAATCAACAATTTTCTTCCTGTTAAGATTTATTGCGAAAGCCCGTGGCAACCGCCGAACGGCATGTCCCTATATCAGCCTGACATTCTCGCATACATGAGTTTGCTGGGTCACGCTATTGAGCCAGCTGAGCACAGTTGGCAGCGGCATGAGCAAGGCCAAGATGGGAACGTGATGGTGCTCGAGCCATCCCACCATGAACCAATATTTCGGCCACCTCACGGGTGCCTGTCGCCATCTATTGGCTGAACTAACGCCTTGTTCAAGATGGCTGCCGTGGGACCGGAGCCTTAAAGTCATTTTATCCTGGGAAAAATGGCGCCATTCATTGTTGTGGAAATGCTAAAGACACGTGCCGCGCGCCACTTCTGGGAAGAACATGGCGTCTGCAATCTAGCTCAGTGCTGCGCTGTGCCGCCATGATCTTCCCAGGGTGCCTCAATGACCTTCTGTTTAGAGTGATGCCACCCTTTGTAGTACCCCATGCCAACAGCACGCGCTCACGGGGAAAATACAAAAAAATCGACGAAAACAAAATGTCGCCATAGCACAGTCAGCACAACAGACGCGTGCAGGGACACGCTCTTTCACGCGCTTCTGAACAAAAAATAAATGTAAAAGTGGGAACAAAATGGCCAGGAGCAAAGCGCACATGAAGGCACCCTAGATCTTCTCAAGGGCTGCACGTTGCACGTGCCTCGTGCATCGACGCACCTTGCGCTACTTTTGAAACATGAAGGCGCTTTAGCTAGAGCCACTCTATATGGCAGCGTAGCTGCCATATCGAGTGGCTCTAGCTTTAGCTGCCATTTCCGGCCTGTATTTTGGCCTGCGGCTGCACTCCGGTTGCCTCGCTTGCGGGTTTTAGTGTGACGATTCAGCGACCGCACTGGGACGCGTAAACGGCGTCCAACTGGCATGACGTGCTCTGAAGTGAGTTGCAAAAACTACAGTGGCGACATTGAGGTCACGAACCACGCTGTGTGCACTGAACATGCCCCGCTAAAGCAAATGGACCGTCCGTGCTTGGTGTGATTTTTGATTCACCGATGCATACTGAATAACCCGAGCACAGCATGATGCCATCTTTAAGGGGTCTGAAGAGGTCCTTGCAGAAAACGAGTTGGAGGTGAATTCTAGATTATATCTATCCCATGAATACGAATATCACGTTCGTTTTCCCCGAATATGTAACGAAACGTGTGAAAACAGAAAAAAAACCTCCGACCAGTCGTTACGTCATAAAAGGATCTTTCGACCGCCAAGCGCGTGTCGCTCGTGTGGGCAACGCTTGCAATTGCAAGCTTGCCAGGTATATTCCCCCGCACTGACGCCAGTCGTGACGTCTTTTTCTGACCTATTTGAAAGTAGCAAGGGTGCGCGTGCATAGCTTTGATAGGCGCTGAAGATGCGCTAGAGCGGAGATTCCAAAAACTAATTTTATGTCGTAACGCTCCGGGAAGGAGGGGCTCCAGCAATACTTTGAAATTTATTTTCTGCAGCCTCCGTGCGCCAAATTGAAAAAAAGAAAAAAAAGAATCTCGGTATTTGTGATTTCGTAGGCCAAATGAAGACCGATTGAAGTGTTTTTACTCAAATACAGAACCGCTTCAGCTTTCCTTTAAGACGGAACTGTCACTACGTTTTATCGGGCCGCGCTCGTAAATCAGCGACTACTCGTTCGCGCAACACTTTTTACTCAACGCATAGGTTGTCTGCTGTAACTCATTCCGATGCACCCAACATCGAACACGATATCTTTTTGATGAGCGACGAGGCGCAGCGCCAAAGACCGCACGCGAGCGACTCCCGGGCGACGAGCGAAGTTTACTGTGCATCTCCTACAACCGAGCGGTGCGACGAGCAACAGCAGGCACTGCGCCCCAGGGAGCCCGTCGCTCATCGCCAAGTTTTTCGCTTGCAAAATCGTCTGCGTGATTAAAGTGCCCAAATGCAGCGATAGACAAGACCGGGACGAGTCAAGTACGCACACGCAGCGATGGATAACGCTGCGATAGCCTTGCCGCGTCAACTAGACATTTGTGGAAGTCGCTCTGGGTTACAATTACCTTTCTTTCCGGCAAAAAACGTAACAAATGTGATGAACTTACATGGTCTCTAAAATCTAGGCCATGATCTTGCGTCGTTGACATATTCACAGTCCGATTCCATCGTATATAGCATCCCGGCAATGGCTGGCGAAGCACCGTGTACGCAGTGCTATACAATGTGCAACAGCGGAAAAGTAGAGGCAGACAATGGCGGACGGGTCACGTGATGCAGAGATGGCAGCGCTCATGAAAAGTTTCCTGAAGGGCCTGAAAGTAACGGATTGCTTGTAATCTGTTAAGCATCTTTGTAATTGCCGCGTTAGTTTTTTGCGGCAGTAATTTGTAATGAAATTTCCTTATAAATATTGGTAAAGGATTACTTTAATTACTCGTTACTTAAAAAAAAAAAAATGAACATGCTACAGAAACTGAAGGAATATGAGCAGGCAGTTCAACAGCATAAAAATATCAAGTTAAAAAAAAAAACGAAAAAAACATCGTGACGAGGAGAATAACCAAAAATACAGCATGATATTTTTGTATGACCGGTCACTAGAACCACAAGAAAAACGTTCAAGGCGGAATCACATATGCGAAAAACAAAGATCAAGAAGACAACGCCAAGTAGGCGTCGTCTTCTTGATTTCATAGCAGAGGTAGGCGCTGCTACTGAGCATGCGCACAACTAGCCTTGTCTGCATAATTCCAGGGATAATTTCCGGTCGCCGACTGCTAGCGGGATGACGGGTCTGGTTGCAGCTTTGTCTGCTTTGTCAGCTTACAGGTGAACGGAGTGCACCTACGTTCTTTCTCTTAAATGAAATATTTTATTTTTGAAAGGACTACCGTAACACGAACGTATGAAAAATGAAAATTAGTGGTGCAGATCATTTTTGAAAACATAAAAACCGTTGCGATTGTTTTCTTGAAAAGTCTACGGAAAATGTAACGTCAAAGTGAATTGTAACATAACGAGTAATGTAATCTGTTACTTTTCAGCAAAAGTATTAGAGCGCAGCTCTTAGGCACCCGTTTCCGGCTTGAGCGGCGTCGGCGTAACCGCGCGGTGCATTATGGGACGCGTGACGTCACTGATGACGTCATCGGCATCGTCATACTGATGACGTCATCAGTGACATCACTGATGACGTCATCACCATCCGCATCGTCACTGATGATCTCGTTAGCGACGTCACTGATGACGTCATCGGCATTCGCATCGTCATCGTCACTGATGACGTCATCATCGTCACGTGACCTCATAAGGGTCACGTGACCCCCATGAGGACACGTGACCCCGGAGACTTCACATGACCCCCGTGAGGTCACGTGACCCTCGTGAGGCGACGGCGACGGCGCTCGGAGGGAGGAGTAGCGGACAGGATGAGGACGTGAGGAGGAGGGAGGAGGGGTGTACCTTCCCCTCAGTACCCTTCCCCCCTCCTCCTCAAGAGTTGCGCTCTGATTTGGCGTTACAGGGAGATGTAAACGGCTTTAAATTTTTTTTTGTACCGGTAATTCGTGACATTTGAGGCTCGGTAATTTGTAATTCTAATCCATTACATTTTTGAAGTAATGGGCAAAGCTCTGCTTCTAGCTGCTTCCTCACGGAGTAAACAATGGGGCGAATCCGGGGCCGCTGATTGGCCTTTCTAAACGCACGTCACAAATGCGCGCGGGGCGCCGGCGGGGAATTAAAACGCGCGCCAGTGTTTCGCGGTGTACACAGATACCGCCTCGGGTATAGAGATGCCGTCTCGAGAGATTTAGGCGCTTTTAGTGCTACACCGTGCGGTGTTGAGGGTTTGTATTCCCCGCCAAAACCTCCTCTTGTTTACCGCAAAATGCGATCATCTCGTCGCCTTGCATTGTGCCGCCGCACTGTCGTCGCGAAGCGGCGTGAACTAGGGGGGTTGGGTGAGTTAACACCCCTCACAAAAATCTGTAGTTAAATTCTTTTGAATTTTTGTTGTTTCTGGAGTCGCATTAAATTTCTTTTCGAACTTTTTTGATGTGTTTTAGACTTTGTTTTGACAACTTACTTAACTCCTAGTTAAAATTGGCCACTTAAATTTTTTAGAATTCCTTCTGACATACATTTTTTTTTAATTCCTTCTTACATAAATTTTGTTCAATTCCTTTTGACGGAACCGCAGATTAACGTTGAAAAAAAAAACACTAAATTTTTTAAATATATTTTTGAATTTCGTTAGATAATAGTGTCTTTTTGGTTCATACCAGGGTTGGGCAGAAATACTCAAAAATGTATTTGGAAATACAAATAATGGGATACATTAAAATAGTAGCTAAAATACTGATACTGAGATATATCTGTAAAAGTGTATCGCGATACGTATCGGAAATACATTAAAAAAGGCAAAAAATATTTGGAAATACAAATACAGGAATACATTTTAGGTAGGGCAGAAATACAAATACCTAAATACTGATACTGCAATACATTTTTAAAATTTGTTTGAGACGTCAAATGAGATGAAGCTTGAAGTTGGAGGTTGAAGTTTTTGATCCTGAAATTACTCTCCTGTAGGCTTGGCACTTTACCTTGAAGGTAGTAATTTCGGACGACGATGAGTCTTCAATGGGCTCAAAAAAAAGTTCCATCAAGGACTGACCGCGGTCTTTTCCTTGACCCTGGTGGTAGTCTGTCTGAAGAGGGATGCGAAAAGACTTCGACCTCTAAATAATTTATATGTCATCCTAAATCACCACGCCCTTGTCCAATAAGGACGCCCACGTAGCAGTTATCACATGACGTCATGGTGGAATGAACTGGCATTCTTTACCTGTAGGTGTGGCCTTGAACGTGAAACTTCAGCACGCTGCTGCATGAAAGGACAATACGTACTTTTGTTGTAGGTTACCCGTTAAAGATCGAGCAGGCAGTGTCATTTGGATTTTTCGAGAATAGTGGACTACCTGAAGCTTCTTGGAACACCTGTCTTATCTTCTCTTACGGTTAAAAAGCGATACGGTGGCATCCCTGTTTTAAAGGTCCTTCCTGTCGACCCTCTGCCACCGACGCATGGCTTGCAGTCCTCAAGTTGTGTCTTGCATACTCCAAATAGAGACCTCGTGGATTGCGACCTGATATTGCCGGCACAACTGCGAGCTCTCCGAGAAACAGCGAGCTCGAGACGAGTCGCAGGTGTACGAAGTCTGGGTCGGCAAAGCGATGCCACGTCTGACTTCCTTCCTGGGTTTCGGATCACCAGAGCAGCGGGTTACTTTCATGTCGGCTGATGACGTATCCTTGAGCCGTGCAATATTACGGGCGCAGCCGCAGGCGCATTCAAATATGTGTTGAACTTCACTGCGTGAATCCTGCTACTATTTCAAGTCAACCACCACCAGGTTCTTGCTGCAACGGACTGTGACTCAGCTTTGCCGGTCGGGTGTACTGTGTACCCTAGGGCAAGAGAGACGGTTAGCAGCGGGCATTGGATGTCAGCAAATAATAACTCAAGAAATTCCTACCTAAGCATCTGCGGCAGAAGATGCTCTGACTCCACTCCTGGAACGCCACCTAGTTTGAGTACTCGACTACGCAACACTTCTCAGAAGGGAAAACAGAACGCATAAGAAAATAGTTTGGAGATTCGGAAGGAACCTTGGTCAGCATGGTAACCATTCCCCAGCACCTCCTTGGCCCTGGTGCCCTCAGAAGTAAAAAAAAAAAAAAAAAAAAAAAGATGCGTTCAATTTTTTTTTTGGCCCGGGGGTGGGGGGGGGGGGGGGTAGTATTTCTCAAGAAATGTAACGAAATACATTTCACTCTGATTGTATTGCAATACAAAGGAATATTTCAAAAGTGTTCCGATACAGGAATACAGATACTGGTGAAAAAAATGTATCGCGATACAGAAATACAGATACGAAATGTATTTCTGAAATACTATCGCGATACATTTGTATCGCGATACTGCTAACCCTGGTTCCTACACATCCCACAAATAAGCAATGTAAACAAACACAAACACCATCAAGCACTCAACACCAGAAACACAGTACTCTTAACAGCACCAGAGCCTTATATAGCCTACATATTGAAGGTAATCATTTGGCCGGTGACCACCTCAGCACTTACTAAGTTTCCAAGTCTCCGGTCTCCTCGCAAGTCTGTCAAAGGGAAGACAGTGTTTCGAAGTTCGTGGACTCTATCTCTTACTAAAAAGCATTGGTACAACTAATAATAATTTCGTGTAGTCGCTAAAACAACTTCCACAAAAACGGCTCATAGAACAAATGTTATCGCTTCTCTGAATAGCACCACTCGGGACGAAGCCAGTCAAGGCGGTTACTCCACTTTAAAATAGTTATTTTGCTCTTCTTTGCTAGTTGAATAGGGTCAATAATGCCACGATAGTCATTTACAAAGTGAGAACGGCAGGGCGTGTTTTTCGAACGCCTGGCCTCCAGCACGCGCCCCATGCCTTCCGTCGTGCTTTGACTGCGCAGTCGAGCTCGAGGGGCGCGAAGCGTCGAAGAGTTGTCAAGGATCGAAGGCTCGCGCTGGAGGCAGGAGAACGGAAGCTCCTCCCTACGGTTCTCAACTTGTCAGAGACTATTGAGAAACTTAGTGACTTTTGAGATTTAGTCAAGATGTATTATGTTCAATAAAAAGTCAACAGAAAGTCTGTAGCTTTTCTTTTGACACTGGCTACAGAAAGTCAACTGAATAATTTAAACACGAAGTAAATAAAACGCCTGCAGTATTTCTGATAACACTTTCAACAGGAAGTAACAGAAAAAGATCCAACGTAGAGTTAATAGAAAGTCAATAGCTTTTCTTTTGACTCAGGCAGAAGAAAATCATAAAAAAGTTTCAACACAAAATCAACAAACTTTCTGCTGACCATGTCAACAGGAAGTCAGTCAAAAGAAAGTAATCAGAGCGAACAAGAAGTCAACATATTTTCAATAAAAAGTAAAAAAAAAAAAAAAAAAAAAAAAAACATCCGTCATATCGGACCCCGCGTACGACCGCAGACCAAATAAAATAATAAAAAAAGTATATTTTTATAAAATAATATACAGAAATAAGTTTTATTTTTATTTTTTAGAAAACCTACAAAAAACGTCGTTACAACTTCTTTTTATTTTCTTTATAAATAAGTCTACAAAACAAAATCTATTGTTTTTCCTTTTGAATTTTTTTTAGAAAATAACCTACAGAAAAACGTCTTTACAAGTTCTTTTTAATTTTTTTATAAATAAGTCTACAAAACAAAATCTATTGTTTTTCCTTT